AAATTGTCCTCCCCTCTCTTGGAAGCAGAAGAGCTCTGTTTGGATTGTGCTGTTTAGATTTGGAACACGTGTCCAAAATCATCTTTATAACTAACCCTGAATGAAACAATTCCCTCAGAACAGCCCCCAGCCTGAATAATTCAAACCACAGAACCTGAAGTCTCCGTCATGATACAAATCGGACATGCTGTGCTTGTGTGTATGTGTGCACGTGCATGCATTTGCATATGTGATTGTGTATGCTTTGAAACCCAGGGATATAGGTTTAATTCCTTCTGACAGCAAATCGCTCCCAGTGGCCTGGGAAAGGTAGTAATTTCCTTGCATGCCTGAAAAGGTTTGCTCGAGCGCCTGTTGAGTAATGTACCAAATCAAATACAGTAATGCTTGAATGAAACCACAGCTTCCTTCTCCCTGAAGAATGTGTTCAATTCCCTTCTTTCTTTGAGCATGCCACCTTCGACTATGACTTGCTTTCACAATATTCTAGTTAGAAGAATCAAGAGTGTAGCTGGGAAAAAACTGCTCAGCTGCAAGAAAGTAGCATAGCAGGAATTGACGACTTCTGCCATTGCTGCTGGTTTCAAGTAGCAGTTCAACAGTTTTTATTGCTAGAATGGTTAGGTTTTTGTATGGATGTGAGTTTGAGCTATAAAACTCAGTGGGTCACTTAGTGCCACCCTAAAGTGCCTCACTAGGAAAATCAAACAAGTTAATCTCCATATATGATCAGCTCCTTGGAGGAATAATGGGATACAGAGATGACAAACAGCATCTAAATTAGGAGTGGATAATGTTTGGCCCTCCAGATGTTGTTGGATTGCAAATCGTCTTGGTCCTAGCCACTGTAAGTGGTACAGGGTGATGGAAGTTGCTGTTCCCCCATCTATAGAGTCACTGCTAAGCTTAATGGAATTGCATGGAAGAGTCGTAACACAACACTTAACAGATAGGGTGTGTGTGTATCAGAAATAGTTGAAATGGTGCCTGCTGCATCTGAACCAAAAAATGCAGCAGTAATTCCTGTGGTCAAAAGCCGTATGTGCAAATAAGTACAGAGGGAAGTTGACATATATTGACCCTAAAAGGGTTTTAAAGGCAAGTGAGGCATTTACAGAATGGTTTTACCAGTCCCACACACACCGTGAGTTTCCATATCCAAGCGGGGAATTGAACCCAAGTCTCCTGAGTCCTGGTCTGTCAGTCTATCTACTACACCACACTGGGTGCCTACGGAGGATCATCACTAACATTGCTGTGTTATTCATTCATTGCTTCTATTTTTTTTCAACAGAAAAGATCTATTAGAGAAAGGGACAGAAGAGCTGCAGCATAACTTTTAACTGTGAGCAGTACAGGTTCGCTCTGTCTGGATCCACCCTTTCAATCTTATACTATCAATATAAAGCCAGAGAGAATCACTGGCTATGCCTGTTCTTCTTCCTCTCCTTCTCAAAGGAAAACAGAAACCTGGTCTGCCTCTTCAGAAATTGTGCTGAACTCTAATTTGGTTTATGGCTGTTTTAATTAAGGCTTCATTTTGCTTACATTTCAATCCTGTCTGCAGTTCAGGCTAGACATTAAGGAGAATGTATATTCCCTATGATTAATCTGGTTTTCCATCCACTAAGGGATATTCCTTAGAGAGACATGCTTCAACAATCAGATCTGCAAATCAAGACTGTGCTTACCTTCCAAACAACCTTCAAAAAACATAGGCACTATATGAAAAATACACAGGTGAGGAACCTTGACACACTGTGACAAACAGACATTTTTGTCTACCATTTCGGCAAGTACCCTTTCCAAAAATGTGCTAGACACGTTGACTCTCAGTTGGGTAACAGTATTTTAAACCAGATAAATTTATAAATACACTAATATAAAAATAAAGCTGCTTCCTGAAGATTTAAACAGCTGCCCACATCGGAATCAAAATACACATATGTGGCATATACACACATGCCAAGACTAGCAATCCCTCTGTCAGGTTCTCCCACTTTCGCCCTGAATGATTAAAATCACTTCTGCTGTTTGATTAAATTGTCTTTTGTTATCCCCACCAATGGACACATGGTGTGCCGCTGGGGAAAACATGCAATAATGATATCATGGTACTGGGTAAGTAATCGTATACCATCTTGCCTCACTCCTGAGTGTTTTGTGACAAGGCCATGTGGAGACCTGTCACAAATATAGTAAGGACATCCCCCCATGGCAGGGATTGTATAGGATTGGAAGATGTCCAAGAAGGTGGTTGCAAAGAATATAGAGAAAGCATAAACGAGAGAGACAGTGAAGCTTTTGGCTCATACCCATACTTTCCTTCCTTTTTTATGACTGCAACTATAATTAACCCAAGCCTGTAAATGAAATGTCTATATGCTATTTTTATGTTTCACTTTGCCTCCACTCCTTCCCTTTCCCATTGTATCTTGTACAGTACTGTATCTTCCTCCGGTAAGGAGCTGTCTTCTTGCTCTCTCCAAAGATATTTACTAGGAGCCACTGAGACTCCTTTTAACAAGATTAGGTAAAGGTTCCCCTTGACATTTAGTCCAGTCGTGTCCGACTCTAGGGTGCAGTGCTCAACCCTGTTTCCAAGCCATAGAGCCAGCGTTTGTCCAAGGACAGTTTCTGTGGTCACGTGGCTAGCACAACTAGACAAGGAACGCCGTTAGGTTCCCACCAAGGTGGTACCTATTTATCTACTTACATTTTTAAATGCTTTCGAATGCTAGGTTGGCAGGAGCTTGGACAAGTGATGGGCGCTCACTCGGTTGCATGCATTTGATCTTATAACTGCTGCTGGTCTTCTGACCTTGCAGCACAGAGGCTTCTGCGGTTTAACCCACAGTGCCACCACGTCACCCCTTTAAACGTCAATGTTTAACAAGATTACACACCAAGAAATGTGTTCCCCTCCAAGTCTTACTGGACTGAACCTCTCCATCAGCCTAGCCAGCAGACCCAACAGTTGGGAGTTAAAATTAATTAATTAATTAGTTTATTCCATTTTTATCCCGCCCATCTAGATTCGTGAATCTACTCTGGGCAGCTTACAGAATATAAAGATAAAAACAGCATTAAAATAACTTTGATCATAACAGCAGAAGAAAACAGGATCCAAGATGGGATAAAGAAGCTATGTAATGGGAGGGGGGAAGGCCTGCTGGAAGAACCAGGTATTCAACTTGTTTTTAAAAATTCCCAGCGAGGGTGCCAGTTGAATCTCTGGGGGTAAGGTGCTCCAAAGATGAGGGACCACCGCTGAGAAGGCCCAGTTTCTTTTTCTCTCCTTCTGGGCCTCTCTCAGGGTTAAGCCCTTCAACCTTTTGGTCTGGCTTGATCGAGTGACATGAGTAGAGCTAGGTGGAGACAGGTGCTCTGCCATGTATCGAGGCCCCAAAATGTTTAGGCTTTATATGTAGGCATTAGTACCTTGAAATCAATGCGAAAACGAATGGGTAACCAGTGTAAAGCTGCCAGAGTGGGGGAAATATGTTGGTGTCTTTTCACCCCAGTTACTAATCTGGTGGCTGTGTTCTGGACCATTTGTAGCTTCTGCATCAGCCTCAAAGGCAGCCCCACATAGATCGCATTGCAGTAGTCTAATCTCAACATTACGAGCGCATGGACCAGAGTGGTGAGCGAGCCAACATCAAGATAGAAGCACAGTTGGGCAATCCGCTGAAGATGTAAGTGGGCAGAGTGGACCAGAGATGCCACCTGGGACTCTATGGTAAGCATGGGGTCAAGATGGACACCCCCCCCCAAGCTGTGGACCACACTCTTCATGGTGTATTCCAAAAAGTGACCTTTCCAGGCTTTGGAACTTCTTGCTGCACTATTAACTGTAGAGACATCAAAGTTCCTATTTCTCTTATTATTACTGCTACTATAGTTTAGCCAGGCAAACAAAAAACCAACCAAATAAATCCATCGTTATCGCTTAAGCCATTTTTTAAAAAAATCTGCCTTCTGCAGTCTGAGGATCAATGAACAATGGCTTGTTTTTATTTCAAGAGAATGGTCTACTTTGTTGTTGTTTAAATCATTTTAAACTTTGTTTAAAAAGCCCAAAGCAATTTATAAGGCACTCCATGAAAACACAAAACCACATGAATAAAATCGGCAAAGCAACTCAGTTTATATCCAATAAAAATAAGTTATATAACAGAAGAACCACAAACCATTTACTACAACCAAATTTTGTACAAACCGTGTCTTTAAATAAATGTTACGTAATTACACTAATCATGTAGGACAAGCTTTAAAAAAACATAGTGGCACCATCACTTAAGAGTCGTTAATGCGGATTTCATGTTTGGTGCCTTAAAATAGCATATGTGGATGGATAATATTTGATTTAGGGGACTTTTTTAAAAAAATGCTATTATCATCACCAGGCGCCTCAAATCTTCCAATTTGAGTTGGGATAAAAAGTGTTACATAACTAACATTACGGAATTACAAACAAAATCTTGGATAATTTTTCTATTTTTTACTGATTGCTCTTATCTCTTCCTTACAAAGAAAAGCAGTTTATCTCCAATAACACAAAGGACGCTAAATAAGGAGTCATTCTCCAGACTAACCCGCCAGTAAAACAAGAGATTGTTAATAAGGCAGCCACGTCCTGATAGAATTGGGTGGTGGGGGCGGAAAAAACCTTAAACTGACCAATATTAATCATCCCCTGCCACCTTCTTTATGATGAGGGACAACCCCTGTATCCGGTAACGCGATCCCTTGACGTCATCAAATGCGACCGGTGAATGGAACGGTCGAAATCTCTGTCAAAGCCAAAGAGAAGCCGTAACTTCCGGGTTCCCGTGGATGACGACGTTTCGTCTGGCCGGGACAGAATGGGCGTGAAGAATGATAAGGGGCGTGGCTGAGGGAGGAGGCGTGCCTTCTCGGCCGGTGGGGCGCGAGCTCATAGGGATCACATGGGCGGGGCCTCAGTGGCGGTAGGCGTGGCTCAAGGGAGCAGGGGGCGTGGCTTTTGCGGAGGCATGTGGCGGGCGACCGCGGAGGAGGGGGGGCCCCGCTGCCTCTTCTCCCTCCCGCTCCCAGTCGCTGCCCTTCCTGTCCAAGCGGGCCCAGCAGACGGCGGTGGGATGCGGAGCTTTTGGGGAGGGGAGTCCCGTTTTCTTCTCCTTGCGGGGGCGCCTTGGAAGTCCCTGGCGTTGCAACCTGTGGGAGCGCTTTGAAGAGGTGATCCGAGCTGCTGGAGGGCGGGAGGGAAGGAAGGAAAGAAGGAAGCGAAGGAAGGGAGGGAGGGAGGGAGATAGAGGGGGGGGGAGTTGGTGTCCCGGGGCGCCCCCTCGAGTTTTCCTGAAACATTTGCGAAGTTTGGGTGGGTGGTCGCTGCGGACGAGTCACGTCTTCTGATTCGGGGGGGGGTGTCCCTTCTGGGGGGCAAGTCATCAATCTTGACAGTGCTTTTTGTCCGGGGCTGGCGATGGAGGACTTGGTGCGGGGTGGGGGGTGAGAGGAAAGGCTCGGTATCCCGCGAAGTAGCCCCTCGTCTGCCGGCAAAAGGCCGCCCGCCGCCCTCCCCGGTCCGTGGTCCCTGGCCAGACGGTACCCTCATCGCCCGCCAGCCGTGGATGCGCGGCCGCTGGAGTTTGCACCCGTTGGCAGAGGTTGGTGGAGTCCAAGCGTTGGCTGGGCTCGGCCGTGCCTCCCTTTTTCTCCCGCGGTCTGTAGGGAGTCAGGGAGGGCCGCTTTCCCTGTCCCACCCACCCCTCTCTCTTTCTTTCCCTCCCTCCGTCCAGGGGCTAAAAGTGCTCCTCAGTGCCCCTACCATCATCCTATGGCAGCCTTTCTTTCTCTCAGAAAGTGGGGCGGAGGTTTCGGGGATGGCCTGGGGATATGACCGGCCTGGACATCGGAGGTTTCGGCCTGAAGCCATTCAGGCAGCTGCTGATGGAGCATTTTTCCCCCTGCCTGCCATCGCCTGGAAAGTGTGTCACCGACTCAACTCTAAAAGTAGCATCTCCCATCACAGGTCTAACTGTTAACTCTTAGGATTTGGTTTAAGCCACGCGCTGTTTCTCCTCCCTTTGCAAGGGTCGAAACTAGTGCTGTATTTGAAACGTAATGGCAGGAAAGTATATACAGTACTGAGAAACTGAGCTTCTTCTACCTTTACTTTTGCTCCAGGTTTAAATAGCCTGGTAATACCTAGCCTCTTGAGGAAGGCTTAATTCAAGCAAAGAAATCTAGGCAAGGATTTTTGTTGATTCAAATTATGGAAAAGTATCTGTGTTAAGTCTGGGGGGAAGGAGTTTTAAAGACTAGAAACTTGTGGAATGGAGCCCACTTCATCAGGTACATAGAATGTCATCCAGGGTCCATTCTCTGTTTGGTACACAGAAAGAGGTATAGGAAGGAGGGGGAGAGCGAAATTGAGGAAATACAGGCAGTGGGTTATAACCAGACCTGACTCCCCTGCTTCGGAGGACTTTTTCCATTGGTAGAGGGAACTGGGATCCAGGAGAGTCTCCTTAGTGAAGGAAAGAGGTAAAGTAGCAATTTTCACTAATTCTCCTGCACTGCCCAGTGTCATGCATATGGGTCTATAAGGTGCTTCAGAGCAGAACATTTGGGGCATAAGGAGCTGTGTGAGGGAGTAGCCTTCTTCCCACTGACCAGCTAATGATTCAACTTGCAATGTGCATAAAACTTAGTTACAGTGACCTATTGGCATTTTACTCAGGAGCAAGGCAAATCATGTAAGTCACCAGCTGATTAATAAGATGCCTGCAAGTGCTGCATTGAGTGCCTGGTTAATTTGCTGCAGTTTTATGCCATGATAGTACTGTACTTAGCTGGAATAAAATATAGGATTATGCCCAGCATTGTTGAAAATATCATGCAGTTGATAAGTGAATTAAGACTCTGTAGTGTGATTAAAAGTCTGTGATCTCAATTAAAGTCACAGATGATGGAAGTGAACTTCTAAACAAAATCTACTCTTTTTTCTGCATTGCCTTTTGCCCTCCCAAACATTATTTCCTAGACACAATAAAACATCCAGGCCCTCCAACATAATTTGCAGCCCCAGCTCCGATAGGCTTTTTTGTGCCCCAAATGGTTATTCACAACAACAAAGTCAAGCATCCAGTGGTTAGTCTTTTAAATTGGTTGCATCTTCCAAATCCACAGTGTCTAACACCAAAAAATACTTTTTTTTTCAAAATTGGAAGTAGACTTGCGGCCAGTTCCATGTTCATTCTTTTTTTATTTCCTCGTGTGTGTAACATGTAGATGACACCAAGAAAAGAAAATTAATTCTTAGACCCACCTAAGTTGCCCATAAATTGCCACTCTGATCTGTGCTCATACCTTTCCTATATTCTCTTCATTACCAGGACTATGGCAGCATTAATAGTTGCCTTGGTATAGAATGGTGCCACTCCTGCCTCTGCTATGTTGATCTTGCAGTTGACTCTTATCTGCAGTGCATCAATTGAGAATGGTTTTGCCCTCCGATCTGTTTACTAGAAAGACTCAGGCTCTGTCCAGAGTGGATTTCTTGTTGCCATGCCATATAAGAAGTCTTGTGAAATGCATCTTTGGTCCAAGTCCTTTCAGATAGTGCTTGCTTTCAATTATGACCTCCCTCTTCAAGGGTGTATCAGTCATACAAGCGTAGCCTTTGTCTTGCATGCATGGTTTTGTAATTAACATTTTCACATTCTGTGCCAGAGTCCACAAGATGTGGTCTCCATGACCCTAATGCTGGCCCTCAGCCAAGAGTCTCTACATGCAACTGATGCCAGTTGATTACACAGAGATTTCTCCTAGACATGAGTTCTGCAGGGCATCTTTTTGAATCTGAAGAAATGCAACGAGTACATAGCCTTCAGTTATGACTTTGCCTGTGGCAGGTAGGACATAGGCTACTAAAATTTCTGTTATCTGATTTCGGTACATTTCTGCACAGGAGGGTGAGTTTACATTTGACAGATGGCCAGTTAGGATTGCTTGCATACATAGAAAATATTGTTTGGGCTGCTTTTAACCATTGACATAATCAATTTAACTAAAGTATATCTTGAATCCAGACAGAAAATGACCTTTGTATTTGTATTACGTTTATTCAGAAATTCAATGTGTGCCTTGCTTTGGTGCATAATAAAAATATGGAAATAGTGTTAATTTCTCCAGCTGAATAGACTGGTGATTGAACTCTGCCTCCTTTCCAGCTTACTTTCCTTACTTTCCATCTTTGAGGGTAAATCAGTCATATAAGTAAGGTTTTCGCACTCTGCGCCAGGAGTAGACAAAATATAGTCCTTGGGGGCCTGAACATAGGCCTTAGTGCTGTTAGATTTCCATTCTATTATTTAGATTTTGTCTTTTCAAGTTAGGCTTCCAGTTGAGTTCCAAGACCAAATGGTCACTTATGAATAAAGCTGCCATTTGGCAAACAAAATTTTAAAAGACAGCAAGTCTTGTTGGCTGTCCTCTCTTCCATATTTTAATTTTGTTTTTCTTGGAGTATTTGCCTTAGCTGGTTTGCTTGACTCATCTAGAGGTTGGACCCTTCTAGGCATATTTTGCCCAAGAGTATCTGTTGTTATCTGTGACATGCTTCTGGACAGATTTCATGGACGGATGCATAGGAGTGTCATGTTCGTAATTTAGTTTCCATAATTTACAGCAGAAGGCACATCTTGGACACGTTACCTTTTTGGACAGGATCTCTTGGAATTCCCTAGCCAGTGTGGGTGCCGAAAGGCTGGGCTTGATGATCTGGCTAATTTCATAGTTTTCATTCTTGGAGCAACTCTGTAAGGGAAGATGAAGAACACTAAAAATAACAAAAACAGAATAACGTGGCACTCTTAAGACTAGCTTCTAAGTGGATTGTACTTCATGAAAGTTCACGCCAAAATAAATCAGTTAATTTTAAAACCGCTCTAAATGCGTTTGTGTTTGATAAGGATGCTGGAACAGATTCACATGGTTGCGATTCTAAAAACCACTAAAAATATTTTACTGAGGGACTCCTTATCACAAATTGAGATTAGAGATCTTTCTGAAAATGATTAGTAAATACATCAAGTCTGGCCTGTGTGAGGGGTGACAGTTTAGGGGTGAGTGTATGAGTTCTATTTTGATGTGTTTCCTAAGGATTTTCAAGGCAAGCATTTTTGCTGGGAGTTTTTAGCCTGTCCTTGTCCCTGCAGAACTATTTTCTCCAGTCTTGTGCCCTGCTGCAGTACGGTCCATGCTCAGATCCCACATCTGCAGGGCACTGGGTTGAGGAAGGCTGCTCTGGTTAGTGACCTGTATGGCACCAACACTGTAGCTACCAGAAACCTTGATTACATATATTATGCTATTTAGAGAGAAAGTGTGTGTGTGTGTGAGAGAGAGAGAGAGAGAGAGAGAGAGAGGCAACTATCTTGTTCTTTCCCGGAAGCTCAGAAATCCATACAGTTTACATGGACAGCTTGGAAGATGGCACGTTTATATAGTTAGAATGTTAGTTTATACAGTAGTTACATTTTTGCTTGCAGAAAAGATGAATGGGCTTAATCTTTCTTTTAAAAAAGATTTTCAGGCTGTAAAAATCATGTTGCTGCTTGTGATTTGTGGTGTTATTTTTTTACTCATTGCAGTCTAGTGGAGGGCCCTTGAGAGAAGAGAAGAAAAATGTGTATCTTCTAAAGACACATTCCCCCTTCCCATACCTCTTAGCTAAGAGACTTGTGTTGCAGAGTGAGCATGGGTAGAGAGAATACAGCTTCTTTCTATTATGCACAGTATCTTGTGTGAATACAGTGATTGTTAAGTATATGCCTAGAACAAGGAGATCCTAACTCCCAGTTCCTATTTATTGCTGAAAATCAGGAACATACCAGATGTGACATTGGGAGACTCACAGCTGGAGATCCCACAGTTTCTTTAAAAGTTCATAGTATTCCCTGCTCAGATTTGGAACTTGATTATAGAGAGATGAGGACTTAATCCTTTCTTCCTGCTTATAGCAAGCTCTTTCATAGGAGAGGCATGCTGTCTTTCCCTCATTCAAAAAGGAGTGCTTTATCTCAGGGATTTCATACCTTTGTGAACCTTGGGATTGTTCTGAGTGACATCTGATAAAGCTTCTTTCTCAAGAAGGTCCCGATTTTTGTCTATCAAACAGATATGCATGATGGCACTTGTCACCTGACTTGCTGTAAGTTGCCCAAACATCT